CGCATTTCCTTCCGCCGAGTAGGGTTGGTAGACCGTAACTGATCCACACGGTCAACGCCGTTTATCCCAATGTTATAGGCAGCGATAATGGCAGGAACCTTAAAGATTTTCCTGTGCATCACTTCGTTCCCAGTCCAGCGTCTTATAGGATACAGTCCATGGCAGCAGTCGATGACTTCACGGTTATTTCCACCAAGTACTCGAGCACTAGGAGTTCGGGCCAAGTCGTTTGTATAAAAAATACAAGGTTTCTTATCATTTCATATGATGAATCCAGCCCGAGCCGAGAATACAGGTTTGTCAGTTTCATACGGTTTTTGACGATGTTCCGGAAGCCGTTTTTCCTTTTTCCGTGTGCATCCTTGGATCTTGCATCGATTGCATAGTGCCTTGCGATTACAAGCTCCCAATATCATCTGGGCAGCTTTGAAACACGCTGAATGGACTCGTAAACGGCTTCTTTGTTTAAAGGCCCCACTCAGTCCTTTCTCGTCGTTCCCACCATACCAAACTCGCTGTCAGTGAGAAGGGTTGTTGCTCGCGCAAGTTCGTGCCTTGTGTAGAAGTTGTCACTTATAATGAGCCGTTTACCAGAAGGAGCAGCAAGCATCTTTGTTTGGTGTCCGATCATAGCCATCCACAGCGCGCAAGCATCATCCGGGTTATCCGGTCTGTCCAGGATATTCTTCAAGTGCCGCCGCATTGTCGGAAAAAGCTCGGCGTAGCGTTGAGCAGCAGTAGTAGGAAGCATGTTTCCGGACCCGTTATCCCACAGAGAGTGTATGTATAGAGAGCTCCACCCAACCACTGCGTAAAATCTCACTGCGAACTTGTCCGGTTTCGACTTGACATACGATTTCACCGATGTTCGGGCCTTTGTTCGCACCCCAACCTCGTCTATGGTACTAACGCCAAATGGAACAGCCACAGTTGCAAACTTCAACTGAAAGTGTTGAAGAAGCTGTCTGCTGTGGCGGAGGGGATCTTAGCGGGCTATGTCCTCAGCTTGGTGGGTACTAGGGCTTGTAACGGACGGAGCCGCTTCGACTTGCTCGCGGCCGATATTTGTTTCTTCTGTCTCAGCAGGAGTAGGTCGTGTGATAACGTTCACTGGTTGATCTGTTGTATTGATAGTCGCTGTCTGAACAGCTGGACATTGTGGATATCTACGCTGTTGTAAGGCGCGTGCATTTGAAATGATCCTTGAATATCTTGGAATCTGGCTCGGCTCATAGTCGTTTTAAAATCGTCATGCCCTTGAAACATATTGGTTGACCAGAACTCCTTGATGTCAGTAATAGGGATTAAGCTCATTGCCATCTCTAAGCCAATGTACGCGTCCATTTCTGCTGTAGTGACTGGGGCAGCACCTTAAACGACCAGTACACTCTTTGTCCATGTCCTCAATGTGGTTTTCAGCTTCTCGGTTACAAATAGGCCGAAGAGACCTGCTTCATCGTGTGACTGGTAGGCTTCTCGTGTTGCTTGAGGCTTGCATAGGTGTAGACCAC